GTGATTCTCCTGTTTACAGCTTCCCAAGAGCTAGGATTACAGGTGCATGCTGCCGCACCCAGTCTCATTTGCTGTCTCAGCTCGTGGTGGGGGAGGGCCAGTACAGCAGGCCCTAGGATTGAATTCCCGGCCCCTGCGAATGCTTGCAGGTGCTTCAATCTGTTGAGCTATTTGGCCAGACCTAAAATGCTTATTCATACAAATAAAAAAGATAAGTCTCATCCAGGATGTGGAGAAAAGTGAACCCACTTATAATGTCGGTGGGAATGTAAGCTAGTGTAGCCATTGTGAAAGGCGGTATGAAATTTCTCAAGAAGTTTAAAAAATAGAACTAACATATGATCCAGCACCCCCAGAATTCTTTACCCAAAGATGAACTGAATATGTGGAAGAGATGTTTGAAACTCTACATTTATTTCTGCACTATTCATGAAAGCCAAAGCCAAATGATTTTTCAGAAGATAGATAAAATAAAAAGTTGGTACGTGTACATGTTATAATACTATAGTGCCAGAGGAAAGAAGAAAAAGCTCCCATTTGTGGCAATGTGGACAAAAATAGAAGATTCCATGTTGAGTGATAAGTGTCAGGAACAGAAAGATAGTGCATAATTTCACTCATATATGCAAGATAAAGTAATTAATGCCATAGACGTAGAGAACATAATGACAATTTCTACAAGTTTGGCTTGTTAGAAAAGAGAGGGAAAAACTGTTAGTCAAAGAAATATGCTTATAATTAAAGAGGAGGAATAAATTACAGGAGATCTACAGCACAACAAAGCTTCTGCAGTTGGAAATTATACACTTATTTTTTTTTAACTTATGTACTTGGTACGGGGTCTCACTCTGCAGCTTGGACTCATAGCAGTCTTCCTGTTTCAGCCTCCCCAGAGCTGCAATTACAGTATGCACCACCATGCCCAGCTACAGTGACTGGCTCAGTGTGGGGCCAACAAAGCATGCAGTACCTGGGATGGAAGCCAGGTCCTTGCACTGCCAGGCAGGGGCTTAGATTGCTGCGCTATCTCATTGGCCCATGTAATTGATTTTTGATAAAAGAAAAGAGAGCTAGGGAGAGTGTTGCCAAGCATGAGCTTGCAAAGAAAATAAAAAAAAAATAGAGTAGATGTTAATTGCTCTTACAGCGAAATGATTACTGAAGTATTTATTATGTATTAATTAATAACTTGTGTTACACAATGCTCCACAATGCAGAAAAATGAACAATATTATAGATCAAGTTAAATACACAAAACATTAGCAAAATAAAAGTGAACTAACAATGTATTGCACATCAGATGTGCCAATTAGAAATGATATTTAGGAACAAAGATTTGGTTTCTAAGGCTGCTTTAGATTCACAATTTTTTTCAGTGGATAAAGCTAGTCCAAAATTTATTTTAATGGTATTTCTACATAAAATTATCTCCTATGGAAATAGTAGAGCAAACACAAAAATACACACACACACACACACACACACACACACACATTTCTTTAATTATTTCTATTTTTTGCACTTATCCACAAAACCAGCATTCACACTTTAACCTTCAATAACAACTAGAATAACAGCATTTTAGTTTATGTTCTTCTCCTATTTGTAACTTTTGTCTCCTGTGCTTGATATAATTACATATCTCTTTTCACACTATTTATTTGTACTAATTTTATGAGTCCCTTTGGAAGAAAAATCAATTATCCATCACTGCCACACTGCCACAAAATATCCAACTTCTAGAGATCTCTTTCAGCACTGACCATATTCTACCAGTCTTCCCTGGCTGCTGTTTCTGCTGCAGCACACAAACACCTTTGTTTACTGTGCCTGCTTTCACACTCCACGGTGAATACCTTGTGTCTTCCTTCAGTCTATTCTCTGCTGAGGCTCTAAAAGTGCAAACTAGGTTGCTATTGAGATCTATCTTTCCTTCTCATAAACTCTTACCTTCTTCAGAGGTAATGTTTAAGTAATCAAGATTGAAAATGGAGAGCTAGCCAAATATCTCAGCTGATTAAAACACCTGCAAGCAGGCACAGGGGCCAGGAATTCAATCCCTGGGCCTGCTATGCCAGGCCCACCCCCAGGGTGCACTGAGATGGTGACTGAGACTGCACATTGTGGCATACGTCTGTACTCCCAGCACTTGGGAGGCTGTATACAGGAGAATCACTATGAATCTGATCTACTAGTGAGACCCTGAACATCCTGTAGACCCTTCCCTAAAATACAAAAAAATAAATAAATAAACAAAAAGATTGAAAATAGAATGGAAGAAGAAAGGAAGGGAGACTAAAAAAAAGACTTTGAAACAAAGATTAGAGAGCTACATCTTTCCTACACTACTCACTAGATACATAACATATTCTTTTTTACTAAGTTTTGTCTATTTAATGCCACTTAGAGTGAATGTGCTGTCTTAGAGGGTAAAGCAGTATATGTAAGGTGATAATTTGTTAGTAAGTCAAGTGGTCCAAAAAGTAGGCCAATAAATCATCGAACTGTGCTTTTTATGTACACTTGCAAGTACTTGAATTTTTTTTTATTATAGTTCTCTTATATTTTTAACATGTAAATTCTGCATAAAAGATTAAACATTTTACCCCTTATTATTATAAGATAAGAATTACATCAATCAATTACAAGTACAAATGTTGATGTTTAGATTTTCTTTCTTTTTTTTTTTTTTGTGCAGGGTCTCACTATAGAGCCAACACACATAGTGCTCCTCCTGATTTTTTCCTCCCAATTGCTGGGATTACAGTCACACACCACCATGCTCAGACTCCATCGCCGACTCAGCATGCCCTGGAATCTGGAGCCAGGGATTGAACCCTGGTCCCTGTGTTTACCTAAGCAAGCACTTAGTCTGCTGAGCTATACGACCAGCCCTTGAATGCTGATGCTTAAAAGTGCTTTTCAAAATGGTTCACAGCTGAGCCCGGGAGATAGCTCAGGCCTTAAGTATCTGCCTGGCAAGAACAAGTCCAGAGTTCAGTCCCCAATACAAAGAGAAAAAAAAGAGGTTCATGGTTAATTAAGTTTTATATATTCATAAATATAATTGAATCTACCTTTTATTGAAACATGTTTTCAGCTTAGCTTTTTACAAACATGGACTGAAAGGAAAATTGTTTCACTTAAAAGAGTATTTCTCACAACTTCCCAAGTTTTTTATAAAATGAAAATGTCAAAATTTTGTTACGGTTAGAGGAAAACATCTCACCTATTAATTTGAAAGAGAATAATAAGATATATTTTCTAATGAGAAATATTAAGGCAATTATTGATGCATATTAAAGATTACAAACATTAATTATTTTCTGTGGGTATGATTGCAGTGTATTGTTTTAGTCTCACCAAGATAATGATCTACTGTCATGTTTCTCCAGCATTACAAGTTTTTATAACCTAAAAAACTTCTGGTCACTTTTCATGTTGTCCTTACTGTATAAAAATCCATTTTCTGTAAGTAAAGTCAGTGTAGAACATGGTACTGAAATGAATGCATTTATATTTACAGTCATACATATAGATGTCAGAAGTTTATACTAATCATAAGTAAGTTCACCTATTTTAATATTCTGAATTAATGAGTAATGACAGGTGAAATCCAATTCATACCAGTTAATTTTGATACAACTTATAACAACTTATCAATTTTTCTGGAATTAGTGGACCTGTGCAATGTCTTCCTTATGCTCCTAAAGGCAGATATTGCATTTCTCATGATTTTTATTGAAAATAATCTTTGAATGCCTTTATGATAAAAAAGTTTGTTTTTTCTTCTTTCTTTCATATCTTGATCCATTGTTTTACTCTTCATCTCTTTCTAATATTTTCCTCTCTAACTCTGCCTTTCAGTCCTTCCACACAGTCATTTCTCCCTTGTTCCCCAATCAAGGAAAATTTAAATAATAGCTGGTATTTGAAGTTATATACAAATTTGTGTATTATGGAATTAGTGTAAGTTTTAAAATATTAAAACATTTCCTGTTGCCTTTTCAAATAAGAGATTATATTAACAAAACAATAAATCAGTATTTTCAAAAAATATATAAAACTAGTTACATTTGAAAAATTTATTGAAATATGATGTAAAGTTATTTTCAATTTGTCCTAAGAATATTTTCTATTAAAATTTAAACATGGGCTGATGAAATAGCTTAGCAGACAAAGCCCCTGCTTAGGCAAGTGCAAGGAACTGGGTTCTATCTCTGGCACCACATGCCATGCCAGCCCCATCCCTGGGTGCACTGAGCCAGCCACCGAGATGGGTATGGTGGCACATACCCGTAATCCCAGCGCTGGAGAGGATGGGAAGCTGGAAACAGGAGGATCACTACGAGTCCAAGCTGCGCAGTGAGACCCTGTACCAAATACATTACAAAAGAAAAACGATAGGAATATTAGTTCACATAAAAAGAAACCTTTGAATAACTTGCATAACCTTACCATTTCATTTATTTAAAAAATCAGACTCCTATTTTTCTTTAAAATCCAAAAGTTTAGAATCAATTAACTGTAGTTCATTTTCTCTGAATGTTTTACTTTTCAAACTTTATTTGGAATCCATTCTTACTTTAAAAAAGTATGACTCAATTTCTTAAAACATTTTACCTACTTACAAAGTATCTCCTGTGTATTTGGGAACATTAAATTCATAATTAAAATTATTTATTTATTTATTTATTTATTTATTTATTTATTTATTTTTCTGTACCAGGGATTGAACTCAGGACCCTGCGCTAGCCAGGCAAGCACTTATTCTACTGAGCTATCTCCCCAGGCCCTAAAAATCAATCTTGATAAGTAAATAGATTAAATTCAAGGTATATGACAAATATAAGTATTCAAGAATTTTAAATGCTGGATCTGTGACTTATGAAAACATAATAAATATTTATAAATTGAAAATTAGATAATAATATATTATGAATTTAAAATTCGATTCATTCACAATAACATTTTATGACATCTCAGAAAAAAATACTTACCAGCTAAGGCAAGAATATATTCTTGAAATCTTGTTCCTATGCGGTTAGTAGCTGTACAGTTATATCGTCCAAAATCATTGTCTGATGTAGGGGCAATCTAATGTAATTACAAAAACGTTACAATGTTACAATGCCAAAACATCAAAAAAGGTTTGAAAAGATGCTATTATGGTTACTATTTGGACATAAATTTAATTATTATCTTGTACTTCTTGGCATAATTCCACAGAACTTCATCAGGTAGACATTAGTAAATAATCATTTAAAGTTGTAATTCACAAAACTGTACTGTCCTTGGGATCCGAAGAACCATAAATTACCTGTTACCTCAATAAATGAAT